TTAAGAACTATTCAATTACTACATGTATAAAGATAAGTTTTCTTTCATAATTGAAGAGGAAGACATATTAATCTGATTACATATTTTTAACCAGTATTATTTTCTTAACATCTAATTTTTAATTGCAGATGTATAATATCTCAAGCGAAAAAAGATATTGGTCCAATGTGAAGATAAAATACTACGTTTCCATCATTGTAATATTTATGTAAGTTGAACTTTCCTTTTAAGACTATTTTGGTTATATATTTGCATACGATTGACATTGTTAAACAAATTTAATATCAATTACAATTACAGAAGCAAAAGCTTAGAAGAGGATATGGGCAGAATAAGGACAATGCAAGTAGATCAGCTTCTACTCATTAAAATTAAGATAGTATTTAAACAATATTGAAATATAATAATATATAAATGTCGTTGGTTAATTGTTATTACATAATTTAAACGTATATTATATTTCTTAATATAATAATATAAATTGGTGAATGCTACAATCCACGAAAATCTGTCATGTTCAGAACATTGTGTGGAACATTATGATTGAAAATCTGGAAATTTTATCTAAATAGAAAGGAATAAGAATCTATAAACTATCTAAGTGTGAAGCAAGGAATCAATCTCTATGAAATTCTCGTGAATTGTTGTCTGTGTAATGATTGCATCTGATTTGAAGTCAGTGTTCTCAATTTTGAATCTATGATATCGATATTTGATATAAATAATAGTTCATATTATTTTCGATATAGAACTGCATCTAATAATATTTTAAATTCTTTTTGATTCATAATGTTCACTAAAGTGAATAAATTAACTTTATTACGTGTTTATACTTTTTCTTCATATCTTTGTAGGATTGGAGCAACACTATACAACATGGAGGTTTCAGATCAAATATTTGAAAGATGAGTTTGCTTCTATATACTGTTAACAAAATAATTAACATCCAAGAGATGCTATATGAGTTTTCGATCAACTTGTCTAATTGCAGGAATTGAATTCCGCTGCCATCAGCTATATAAAAGCAATCGAAAGTAAGATGCAACTGATTAGATAAAGGTAAGTACCACTTGCTATTTTTTAATTTATATCTCCAGGTTATAATGCTGAGTGTAATGATCTTATTGTTAATTTAGAAAACAAAACTCTTACTGTGATTCTCTGGAATTCTGGATATGGGGAACGCATCATTTTAAAACGCCTACACTAATTTGGTAAAAGTGAGTACAAACGTTCACTTTGTTCATAATTTAGCTTTAAGTATTGATTCTAAGACTTTCCCAATATAATTCAAAAACTTTACCAATATTCAAAGACTAATCAATCTTTACATTCAATTTGTTTATAATTTAATTTTACAAAATTACCTGAACAAATTAACAATTCTATACTATAAAAGATAACCAACTTTTTCGATATGAGTGCCACCTCATCATTTTGGTTTATTATGGAAATGACATGTGTTATTTTTTAAAATTTAATGATACAAATTATGTAAAATATAGTTAATGCATAAATTTAATACATTATCAATCATAATACTAAAAGAATATAAAAAATATGAAGAATTAGATAATATATTTTAAAATATATACTTAATATTCAAAATAATAAATATCTATTTTGTGGTAGTTTTCAAAAATCATTAACAAATTTATATTTTATATTTAAGAGTGTTTTCTTATTTTTAATTAATATTATAAGTTATTATTATAAAAACAATTATAAAAATATAAAAATAACAATTATTTGATATTTTGAACCTTAAAAAGTTAGAAGAAAAATTTATACAATATTATAATAAACTTTAAAACAATTTCTTCATAAATTAATAATTATTTGATAATTTATTTTATTCAAACCTGATCCATTAATAATTTTAAAATTAATAAGATATCAAAGTCCTAATATATTTATTTATAAACTATTTAATGCAGATGTATAAATTAAAATTATAAATCAATTATTTAAGCTCATAAAAATATAAAATCACGGCTTTGCTATTGTGTAAATTTACGCCGTGAACAAGTACAACCTGTTAAAAAGAGCTGTCTCTGTCTATATTGTGTTTGAAGAGTTTTTCTAATTAATTTTTGTTATATAATACTTCTTTGATTTGTATTATATCCATTTAATATATTGTATATATACAAGGTATAATATATTTCACATTTCTTTATCAATAAATCATTGATCACATATATAGTTAATATTCACATAATATGTAAATATGTATTGTATGTTTATTTTAATACACAATATTCTTTAAAAAAAATAAATATACGATAAAATAAATTATAATTACACTTTTTAATAAATTATATTGTGAAAAAAAATTCGCGCATTGTGCATGTACTCATCTAGTAACCATTAAAACTTGTAAACCTATTAGCTAAAAACTCAATATAACATTAAAATCATAAAATTCATATAAAATCATAACATTTTATGTTTTATGTAAAACTCATGTGTTTATAATTACAATAAAGAAATAATTTTATATTATTTTATTTTCAAAATTACAATTTCACACAATTAATTTCAATCTTCATAACTCATAAAAAAAAATCAATATAAACCACAAAAAACACATTCGGGATCACGTTTTTTTATATCACATTTTGTAAATTAGAGTATAAATCTTCAAAAAAAAAAATAACCCTGCGCTAGATGTACTATCAATTTAACAAACTTACTTAATGTCTCTTAGAACAAACTCTATATTCTTCCTTTCTTTTCGCTTCACCTGAACAATTTCAAAATTTTTAACATCTACTACATGGCCAATAACATCTGCAAATCCATAAACTGTTTCTTTAAAAAAAAATCCATAATAGATTATAGTCAAATTAAATTAAAACTAATATAATCTAAAAACTTACCAACCAAGAAAGAATTAAGTAACAACTGAAAACTATTTGAAAATCTGCAAAAGATAAGAAGTCAATTTCTGCAAATATGTTTGATTAACTATAACAAAAACAATGTTATTTTCCTTACAGTTTCATCAGCAAGAATCAGCTCAAATGATTCACCAGCATGTGTTGTGTATTGCTTTCATGAATGGAGGATTTTGACTTGGACTGGCCAGCCTGTTTTAAAAGGTTTGATATCAGAAGGTTAGTATAACCAATGACATAATTCATATCCTTTGCTATGAAGTATGATAGGAAAGAAGCGTAAATGTTTTGATAATGAGAAGATTAGCTACTTGGAAGGATATAATTTGTAGGAAAAGTGCATGAAACCAATTAGAGAACTTATTCTGCGTTTTATTGTTTAAGAGATGTGTATTTTGACTATAAGTTGAAGTGCAATATATAGGACGAATAACTAAAGGAATGCAATATTCTCGTTGATTATCGTATATTTTTGGTTAGAGACTTATACGGTTCTGTTTATGATTTCAGTTAGGCAGCATATTCTTGAGAATATACTGTACATTAACTAATAAGTTAATTAGTCCTATATATAGGTTAAGTATATTACAACCGAATAACTTATAATCAAATATGGTTGTTTCTTAGATAGAATGATACAAATACTGGCCATAAAACATATCTATGCAATTAATTGTTTCTGCAATTTAATTCACGGGATTGATAAGATTTAGTTAGTTATAATTTCAAATTTGAATGGTTTCCGCAATTTTCTGATGAGGATTTCTACGGATTCAAGAAAATATTTAGTTAGTTGTCATGTAAATTTTGAATTATGAGTAGTAACCCGAATTGATTTAAATGAAGTAATGAAATCTCTAAAAAAAAATACAGTCGCATGCAATGTAAATTCTATATATTTTGAAACCATTTAAAGCTTGAAAATGAATTATTCGGGTTATGTATTATTTTGAAATTTATATAGTATTCAAACCGAACTGGATCATTCATAACTATCATTTTAAATTTCATGAACCGGTTCTGATCATGAACTCTTTCACTTCATAGATAGCACCAGTATGGATCATGCATTACGTTATTTGTAATACATTCAAATGTTTGGCCAAAAGACTTTAATCATACAGTACACTCTTTCACTTTAATAGTATACCAATGTGTATCATTTCTTGTAAACCAATGGATCATTAGTTCACTATTTGTTTCCATGCATTTCACACATCTCTTGCATTGGAGTTATTTCTGATGTGAATTCTTCTGATGTTTAAGAAATGAAGATTGAATGTTTAAGGAATGAAGATTGAAGATTATGCTTGGCGATACCGATTCATGAAAAGAAGGTGCATAGCTTGGTTAAAAACCGGGTTAAGACATCCCGTAAGTTATACGGTCGGTTCAAATTATTATGATGATCGAAGGTACACATGAATTAGTATAGATTTTTAGTTTAGGACTAAACACAACTAAGACAAATGTACTCTTAATGAAATTATGAAATTCTCTAGCAAACTCAATGGCATGGCTCGTAAATACTATGGTAAGATTTGGACATATTTTAAGAATGATCATAATTTCACACATCGAGAATTGAACAATCTAAATTATTAAAAGAGAATCATTTTTAAAATATGTCTAAATTTTACCGTGGTATTTACAAGCCATGCCATTGAATTTGCTAGAAAAATTTCATAATTTTATTAAGGGTACATTCGTTTTAGTTGTGTTTAGTCCTAAACTAAAAATCTATACTAATTCATGTGCACTTTCGATCATTATAATAATTTGAACCGACCATATAACTTACGGGATGTCTTAACCCGGTTTCTAACCAAGCTATGCACCTTTTTTTCATGAATCGTTTAGATTGTTCAATTCTCGCTGCGGCCATCTGAGTCAAAAAGAAACTAAGTTTTTTTTTTGTTTTATAAGAGAAGAGAAAGTTGTTATAGCCAAATGTCTCAAAACCTCCCATATATGACCTCGAATATAATATAATGTAATCCTTTCTCATATATAAAATGTTGTGGCAATTTGCGCACACACAAAAACAAAAAAATGTTGTGGCCAGCTTTTGTCACTTTTTGTAAAAAAAATTTACAGCGCCTAGAGGAGTGTTTCTTTCTCATTCTTTGCGGTTCGGTACGGTTCGTTTCTTTCAACTACATTTTTTGTTCCTTTCGGCTTTTAATAGTCTGAAGAAATACCCAGAACATTCCGTTTTCTCAGGAAGCAGACGAAGGGAACCGTAAAATCCACTTAACAGTCGCATTTTGGCGCCACTTCATCTTCCTTCATGGCGTCCGATTCCGGCGGAGCCACAATCGCTGTCGAAAATGGCGGAAACTTAGAAACCCTAAACCTCAATTCCACAGAACTCTACTCATCAGCAACTTCCTCTGTTTCTCCACTGTTCCCTCCACCGAAACCACCGTTTTCTTCTCCCTCAATCCTACAATCGAAGCGGATTCCCAAAACTAACTTCATCGTCGATTTGTTTCGCTTCCCATCCTTCTCCTCCGATTCCTCCTCCGTCGCTTTTTTCCTCTCGCACTTCCACTCCGATCACTATTCCGGCCTCTCCCCTTCTTGGTCCAGAGGAATTATCTTCTGCTCTCACCAAACGGCAAGCCTCGTGAAAGAAATCCTTCAAGTTCCGTCACAATTGGTTTTCCCTTTGCCTATGAATCAAAAGGCTGTCATCGATGGCTCTGAGGTTGTTCTGATTGATGCAAATCACTGCCCAGGAGCGGTACAGTTCCTGTTCAAAATCACATTGGAGAACGACACATTCGAGAGGTACGTTCACACTGGAGATTTCAGATTCTGTGATTCGATGAGATTGGATCCATTCCTTAGTGGCTTCATCGGCTGTGACGGTGTTTTTCTCGACACTACTTATTGCAATCCGAAATTCGTTTTTCCCTCGCAAGAAGAGTCTGTTGATTATGTGATTAGTGTGATAGATAAGATTGATGGAGAGTCTAAGGTCACGGAGCAAAAGGTTTTGTTTCTTGTTGCGACTTATGTTGTTGGTAAAGAGAAGATTCTTATTGAGATTGCTAAGAGATGCAAGAGGAAAATCTTTGTGGACGCGAGAAAGATGTCGATTATTTCCATTTTAGGCTGTGGAGAGATCGGAATGTTCACAGAGGATGAGAACGAGAGCGATGTTCATGTTGTGGGATGGAATGTATTGGGTGAGACTTGGCCGTATTTTCGGCCGAACTTTGTGAAGATGAACGAGGTTATGGTTGAGAAAGGGTATGATAAGGTTGTAGGCTTTGTGCCCACAGGGTGGACTTATGAAGTGAAGCGGAATAAGTTTGCTGTGAGGTTTAAAGATTCGATGGAGATTCATCTTGTACCGTATAGCGAGCATTCGAACTATGATGAGCTTAGAGAGTACATAAAGTTCCTGAAACCTAAAAGAGTTATTCCTACTGTTGGAGTTGATATCGAGAAGTTTGATAGCAGGGAGGTTTATAAGATGCAGAAGCATTTTTCTGGACTTGTAGATGAAATGGCGAACAAGAAAGAGTTTTTGCTGGGTTTCTATCGCCAGTCTAGCCAGAAGAATGAGAAAAATGACATGAATGTTGGAAAAGATAAGAAGGCATGTGAAGACAGTTCGGCGACTGAAAAGTTGCGGACAGAACTGCGTGATTCTTTGCCTGGTTGGGTCACTCAAGAGCAGATGTTAGATCTGATTAACAAACATGGTGGTAATCCCGTAGATGTAGTAAGCAACTTTTATGAACGTGAAGCAGAGCTTTACAAGCAATCCTCTCTTGCCACATCGACTTCCTTGGAAAATCAGGCTGTTTTGTTTGATGACGATGGAACGGACTTGCAACAAAACCCTGCTAAGAGCACTTGTCCAGATGGTCACGCAAGTCAAAAAGGTTTTGCCTTACCAAGCAAAGTGGGTTTAACAAAGGGAACTATTTCTCCCTTGAAAAGAGGCAAAAGCATAGGCAGTAAGTCAAACAAGAAGGCTAAGAAAGATTCTAAGTCGAAACCAGTTGGTCCAGGGCAGTCAACCATAACTAAATTCTTCAATAAGGTCTTGGATAGTGGTTCTAGTGTGGGTTCAGAGACTGTAGAATGCACTACATATGAAAAAGTGGTCCACAATGGTGCTACAGAAGCATACAAAGAAGTAACAGACCAGTTTATTGATATTGTTAATGGTTCTGAATCTTTAAGAGAGTATGCTGCTTCCATCATTGATGAGGCTAAAGGAGATATAAATACGGCATTGAACATCTATTACAGTAACCCCAGTGACATATCTCGCAAAGCAAGTCAGTTTCCGCAATGTCCTGAAGCGTGCTCCTCTCAAGAGGACAAAACCGTGCTAGAAAATTCAGGAAATGCAGTTAGCTTATGGAAGCAGACATCAGCAGAGGAGATTGTGGACAAAAATTATGTATCTCTTCCTCCCGAAAAGTATAAACCTAAAGAGCACGGTTGGTGTGTTTATACAGTTTATGCACCATTTTATAAACGTTTTTTGCAACCAAATTGTCTGCAATGTAATAGGATTTTATAGTCAACCTGCTTTAAAATATTTCTGTGCATCAACACTCATATGTGTTTTGGTATAATGCAGCTTGTTGGAGGGATGGACAGCCTGCTCCATATATCCACCTTGTCCGAACATTTGCTTCAGTTGAAGGTGAAAAGGGAAAAATCAAAGCTATGTCTATGCTTTGCAACATGTTTAGAAGGTTGCCTATTCTTTTTCCTTCCTGTTCACTATGTTGATGAAGCGGAAGCAATGATAATGAACTTATATTTCTGTTAATTCTCATCCCATCAGCTTGTTGGCTCTCTCTCCAGAAGATGTGTTGCCCGCTGTTTATCTTTGCACAAATAAGATTGCCGCTGACCATGAGAATATTGTCGGTTTACGTTTTTTTATATTTTTTTTCCCTTCTCTTGTTATTTACTCAAACTTTAAAAGACTCATATGATCATGTATTAATTGGACAGGAACTTAACATTGGTGGAAGTCTGATCTCTTCTGCATTGGAAGAAGCATGTGGAATAAGTCGGTCTACTATGAGGGAGATGTATAATAAATTGGGGGATCTTGGTAAATACAAATCTATGTCATCACGTTTAACTTGTTGTTCTGTTGTTCCTGCTGTATGCTCTGCTAAAACGGATCTTTCGTATCAAACTCTCCAGGGGATGTTGCTCAGCTATGTCGGCAAACGCAAAAGCTACTGGTTCCTCCACCACCACTTCTAGTTAGAGATGTGTTTTCAACTCTACGAAAGATAAGGTAATCTGGTTATGTGTTACAGAATAATAGCTATTGACTGACAAGTGACAAAACACATGTCCCAATGAAGATAATAATACTCAGAGGTGCTTGTTTATCTTTCTGTTGAAGCAGTTATAGCAGATATTTTCTGTAATGCACGATATGTATAATATTAAAGTACTTCAGATGCCTAAGACAATGAGGCTTTGCTCTCATTTGCTCAAAAATTAGAAATTTGACGGAGGATTTTCTGTGGTCTCAGAGAGTTATTTGGGGCCTTGAAAAATAATTGTACTAAGTATTAGATGACCTTACGTTGATTTTGACACTATAAGCTAAATTACTGAACCGTTTGTGATTTCTTTCTGGTAATTGGTTTGAGCTGTCTTCCAATTAGCACAGTTTCATCGTTGGTGGATGATAATAGTGATCTTTGTTCTCTCGCCACAATTTTTCTTCTAACATGAGATCATTCGAGCAAACTCCTAAATAGTTTTTCTCAGTGTGCAGACAGGTACTGGAAGTAATAGGCAAAAGAAAAACCTCATCGTGAAGCTAATGCGTTCTTGTAGAGAGAAAGAGATCAAATTTCTAGTTAGAACATTGGTAAGATCTTCTCAAAGAAATATCTCCCATATACTGTTTACAGCTTTTGTGTTTTAAGCAGCGATGTCTCTGTTCAGTCCCGTAATTTAAGGATTGGCGCTATGCTGAGAACTGTTCTGCCTGCACTAGGGCGAGCAATCGTTATGAATTCCCTTTGGAAATGCCATAACAAAGAGCCATCAGACAACTGTTTCAGAGAGAAACTCGAGGTTTGGCTATATTCTCTTCCTTAGTTCAGAGAAAGTGTTTTCTTGTCACTTTTCAAGTCGAGAGTGTTCAGAAATTTATATCTCATCGCTCATGTTATTAAGAGGAAAGCTCAAAACTTTCAGGGTGTTTCTGCTGCTGTAGTTGAGGCTTACAATATACTTCCTTCTCTGGTGAGCTCTAAATGTCATCAACCTTTGCCTTCTTCACCTTTTATTCACTTTGCCATTTGCGAAATAACGTTTTTTAAAAACTTATTTCTTTGCACTTAAATGCGATCAACAATTCTAGGGTGTAATTAATCAAGAATTAGTCCCACCTGTTTAAAGCCTTTATACTGTTTGTGCTTTGTCCTACTCAGTATAGTTACCAAAATTTTCAAATAGAAACATCGATTCAATACTTTATATTTTTCCAAACAGGACGTGGTTGTTCCTTCTCTCATGGACAAAGGCATTGAGTTTTCAACATCAACTCTGTCAATGATCCCAGGGATACCTATAAAACCCATGCTTGCAAAGTAATTGTACAGATCTTCGTGATACATTTGTTTTCAAGATAACGATCACAACTGCTGATCTCATGCCTCTATTAATTTTGCCGTTTTTCATTGCAGAATTGCTAACGGGGTTCAAGAATTTCTCAAACTCTTCCAAGACAAAGCTTTTACATGTGAATACAAGTTAGTTTGTCTCAAAAACTTCTCTTGAACTATTGAAACTGATGAGTTTCTGATTATTAATGGAATGTCTGTTACTCTTAACTCACAACCCATGAATCTTCTTTGCATTCTGTTGATTTCCAGTAATCTTCTGTGTCTTGAATTACCTTGCAATTACATCTAATTATAACTTTCAGATATGATGGCCAGCGCGCACAGATCCATCAGTTACATGATGGTACTGTGCGCATCTTCTCTCGAAATGGTGATGAAACAACTTCAAGATTTCCTGATCTGGTTGATGTTATAAAACAGTTTGCTTGCCCTGCTGCTGAGACATTCATGTTGGATGCAGAGGTAAGAGAAATTCCATCTCTCTCCAAACGAGGCCTTTTGCCGGTTTTCAAAATTAACCTGTAATTGCTTATCATGAATTCTCTTGGTTATACATGGTGTATTGTTCTTTTTATGGGTTCAGGTGGTTGCAACCGATAGAAAGAATGGAAACAAACTCATGTCATTCCAAGAATTATCAACAAGAGAGAGAGGGAGCAAAGATGCTTTGATAACTACAGAAAGTATTAAGGTATTAAATACAATATCCGTACAACCCTATTGCTACACCTAAATGATGATCAGCATTTATATCAAGAATTTCAGCAGCTCCATAGATTTGTTATCTCAAGTCCGGTTCTAAACCTGTCGTCACTCGTCACCTGCTTGATATCATTTTTTTATTAATTGCTTGGACTGTTGGACATGTACGCCTGAGGCGCAAGGCGCACGCATTTAGCATCTTGGCGCATCTGTAACGCAAGGCGCATGTCTATCCCAAAAGAGCGCGCCTATATGCGCGCGTGCTTTCCCAAAAGCGCGAAGCTAGAAAAAGGCGCGCGTTTAAGATGTTCTCATCTTAAACTCTATTCCTCGACCTTGTATTCTCTATTCCTTCTTCGTTTCTCAGTAGTTCTTCTCTAGCTGCTTTCAATTCCATCACATGTTCAAAACATCAGAGAAGAAGATAGATCCGCCAAGAAAATCTGGGTTCGAGATCCATCCAATAGATATTGAAATGGATGGATATGATGGAGAAGAAGAGATCAACTATGAGCGGAAAGGAATTCTAGATCCTACTAGCAAGGAAGATCTTCATTAGATATGAAGATCTTTAAGAAAATGATTAGATAGATTAGGTTCCTAGAAGATAATCTTGTCCTTAGTATTCTTCTCAAGCATCTGAAAAGCGCGCGCCTTGCGCCTGAGGCGCAGTAAGGCGCAATGTTGAAGAGTTGTGCCTCAGTGCGCCTTGCGCCTTTTAAAACCAAGATTGGACGTTACACTACATTCCCAGTCAAATGTTTGTATGGAAATCCATCATCAACATACATGTTAATCTCTACTAATTTAGTTTTAAAGGAGGCTTGTTGGTTTCTGTATGACTGGCGCTTTCCTCTTGAAGTTTTTCTTTTCAGTTTCTCAAGATGTTCTTCTAGGTTTATTGCTTTTATCCTGCAGGTTGAAGTCTGCGCCTTTGTGTTTGATATTATGTTCTTGAATGGTGAACAGTATGTCTTTTACTCGATATTCTTTTATATTCTTTTTGCATTTCGCCTAGTAACTTATATGTTGAGTCGTAATTTCCTTACCGTAACAATGCAGGCTGTTGGCTCTTCCACTCCGTGAGAGACGAAAACGTAAACCTTGCATCTCTCTTTCTTTCTTAATTCGATGTGTTCGTTTTTTTTCATCAGGCTTATTTATGCATAACCTTTCAGGTCTAAAGGAGGTCTTCCCTGAGACCAGGCCAGGTTATCTTGAGTATGCAAAGGAAATCACTGTAAGTGTCACGGTAGCTTCTGACGTATAAGTTATAGACAGAACATCTCATAGCCGTTCTCTGTAACTAAGTGCTTTGGTAGTTTAACTGACTTCTATTTGTTTAACAGGTGGGAGCAGAAGAAGCGTCTTTGAATAATCAAGACACATTGTTTAGAATAAACGCTTTTCTAGAAGAAGCATTTCAGTCATCTTCTGAAGGAATCATGGTTAAGTCTTTAAATGTTGATGCCGGATACTGCCCCACAAAGCGTTCTGATTCATGGCTCAAGGTCTCGTGCTGTAAATTATTTTTCTTATCAAAAGATAAAAGTGCCGGAAATGGATTGAATGGTGCTAAATTTTTCTGGTTCAGGTAAAACGAGATTATGTAGATGGATTAGGTGACACATTGGATTTAGTTCCTATAGGTGCTTGGCATGGCAACGGGCGAAAAGCGGGATGGTACTAAAGACTTGTAGCTTTCAAGCTTAAATGTAAATATAGGTTTACTCAGGAATTTCTCAAATGCATCCTGTAATTTCTTTTTGTGTGTAGGTATAGTCCATTCCTCATGGCCTGTTTCAACACTGAGACTGAGGAATTCCAGAGTGTCTGCCGTGTCATGTCTGGGTTCTCTGATGCCTTTTACATCGAGGTAATGAAAAAGCATAACTACACTTTCACATTTCTCCATTTATCAATCTTTGAAGATGAAATTTATGAATTCAACATTGTAGTTCAGCTTTGTTTAGTTCGGTTTGATTTGCTTTGGGTTTGTGTTTATATGTAGACCCTAATTGTGACTCAAGAACCATTTCAAGATTGTTTAGAGTATCTATGATCATTTATATTTTTCTGTTTTCTTGCAGATGAAAGAGTTCTACTCCGGAGATAAGATCCTAGCGAAAAAGCCGCCTTACTACAGAACAGGGGAGACACCAGACATGTGGTTTTCTACAGAGGTTGTCTGGGAAATCAGAGGTGCGGATTTAACCGTCTCACCAGTTCACAACGCAGCTTTGGGTCTCGTCCATCCATCACGAGGCATCTCTGTTAGGTTTCCGAGATTTATCCGTCAAGCGAAGGATAGGAATCCTGAGGAATGCAGCACGGCTGTAGATGTCGCAGAGATGTTTCATGCTCAAACCAGAAAAATGAACATTTAAGTCTTAACATTAACATGATCCCAGTCTGATCAGGTTATATTTTACCTTTTTTGGTTCGTTTAGGAGGCATTTACCTAACGGTCCTAACCCAAACACAATGTTTTTATTGGGTCACATAGCCCCATCGTATGTATAGTCCTTTTATATTGTGGTTAGGTTACATGTAAAGTGTGTATGTATATAAGGCGTAGCCTCTGTAAACGATGAATCCAAGAAAACCCTTTAACACAACAAAGTTTTTTGACATAGTATTAGAGTTTTAAGATCTACACTTTAATCTTTTGATTTTTATTTTCATCAATCTCATTCTATTGTTCTTTTCTCTCTTTCTCTTACCTAAGTTCATCATTTATTCTAACGATGTTTTTCTCATAATATCGATATTTGATCTCAAATCTTCTATAGCCGCAAAATCAAAAATACGATTTGAAGTCACACATCGCACAATTTTGCCATACGATTTAACCTCCAGCGACAATTCGGGAACCCTGATCTCCTGACCGGCGTTGCGTGGACCCAACTATGACGACTGGTCCACAAGTATATGTTTGACACTCAAAGCCCGGAAGAAGTTCGGCTTTGTTGATGGTTTTATCCCTGAACCAGACACAAATGATGAAGATTATGAAAATTGGTGTGCTAACAACACATTTTTGGTGTCTTAGATCAAGCTCACCATTGATGAAAAATTGTGTTCATCGTTGTTTTATAATGACAATGCACACGAGCTGTGGAATCATGTTCAAAAACAATTTGCAGTAAAAAATAGCCAACGTGTACAGCGTCTGAAATCTCAGCTGGCAAATTGTCATAAAAAAGGATTGCCCATTGAAGCCTATTGCAGACAATTAACAAAGCTTTGGACAAGTTTAGCAGATTATCATTAAGGAAAAAAAATGGAAGATATCATGTGAGAGCGAGAGAACGACAAACCCCATAAATTTCTCATGGGCCTAGACGAGACAATTTATGGAGCTGTCAAGTCAAATCTGCTTTCACGTGATCCTCTGCCATCTCTCGATGAAGCCTACAACATTCTTACACAAGATGAAGAATCAAAACAAATGGGAAGAATGCAGCAAGAGCGATCTGATGGCGTCAGTTTTGCAGGCAATTGGCTTCCAAATCTCAGAATGGAAGATGTGTGCAACTTGTGAAATCACAGGTCACCTTGCAGAGAACTATTTCAATTAGATTGGCTTTCCATCATGGTGAGAAGATGGAAAACGCAATACACGTGATCAGAATTCGAATGCTGGACAAGGAATTTTACAAACTCCTGCATCGTCTTTCAAAGCTGCACGAGCAAATAATGTTGTTACAGTCCCTAGCGGCTCTGTTTTTTCAACAACTGCGATGACTCCACCTCTCACAGCCGCAGATCGTATCGGCATCACAGGTCTGAATGACAAACAATGGCAGACTCTTGTCAACATGCTACATAAACGCCATTCCACACCAACGACACATCTATCTGATAAGTTTTTTTGTTGAATCTTAGATTGTTAATACATGGGTTTCAGATCACATAGCTGAGAATCTCGAGTTCCTTGTAGACGTCTATGCATCCTATGTTCATTAAACTTCCAGATGGAAGGTTCACTGTCGCCACTCAACAAGGGAAAGCAAATCTGGGTTCTTCAGTTAGACTTGCAAATGTACTCTTTGTTGATGGACTGCATTGTCATCTCATATCAGTTTGTCAATTGACCAAAGACCTCGGCTGCACCTTCCAGATTACTGATCGCCTTTGTATTGTTCAGGATCGCATCACGAAGTTGCTGCTTGGAGCGGGTGAGGAGCAGAATGGCTTATATTTCTTTAAGGGAATGGAGACAGTGGTGGCAATTCAGAAATCAGATACTCTGGCGTTTGATGTATGGAATTGTTGTCTTGGATATCCATCCTCCAAAGCTCTTGCGTTGTCAAAGATTCCAGATTTCAGTAGTAGTAGTAGCATTTTTGATATAAAGCGTGTGATGCATGTATCCGCGCCAAACATACAAGAGATTCATTTCCGTTGAGTACTAATAAAATGAGCAAGCCTTTCGAATTAGTACACTGCGACTTTACCTCTACTATTTGTGGTTCAATCTATTTTTTCACTATTTAAGATGACTACTCTCGAGCTTTATGGATATATCTACTTCCATCAAAGCAAGTTGCTCCGATTCACTTGGAAAACTTCATCGCACTTGTTGAAAGACAATTCCTATGCCACGTTAAGACAATCAGGAGTGACAACGGATCTGAGTTTGTTTGTTTCACTGAGTTTTCAACAGTAAAGGCATTATTCATGAAATCTCATGCGTTGGCACTCCCCAACAGTATGGAAGAGTAGAACGCAAGCATTGTCACATACTTAACGTCCTCTCCGATTCCAAGCTAATTTGCCTATTGAATTATGAGGTTATTGTGCTTTAACCGCATGATATCCCATAAACAAAACACCAACAGCAGTTTTAAAGGGAAATACTCCTTTTGAAATGCTCTACAATCATCCACCACCACTTCAGCTCCTGCGTGTATTTGGTTGCATTTGTTACATTCACATCCAGAAACATGGTGGCGACAAGTTTGCAAGTCGCAGCAACCGTTCTGTATTTCTTGGTTATCCATTCAGGAAGAAAGAATGGAGAGTCCACAATCTAGACACCGGAGTTGTCTCAATATCTCGTGATGTTATTTTATGGGAAACAGAATTTCACTACATTGATGCATCACTTGCTGATTCTAACGTAACAGAATCCGATGATTCACTATCACCACCATTACACATTGATGATACTGAATCTGATCATTTTGTTGAACGAGCTCTACCTTCTGCATCTTTTCCAACACCTGATATTGTCACAATCGCTGAACCTGCAGTATTGGTCACACCTGCAGTTTTGACAGATACTGAACTTTCTGATAATCATGAATCTCCTTTGATCTCTGAATTATTAGCACCGATGGCCATTGTCGACGAATCATCTTCATCTGACTCTGGCGATCCCTTTACTTCATATCAGTCGTCTTCCTACGCAGAGGCTTCTCACGATGATGACTCAGATGAACCTCCTACTGAAGTCCTTGGTCGCGGTTTTCAGGAGAAGACAAGATCAACCAAGCTTTCTGACTACATCACCACTCTCTTTCATGCGCTGTATCCTTTCGCTACCCCATATCCATTGGATAATTTTCTCTTAAGTGCTTGTTTTTCAGAAACATATCAAGCATATATTTTCGCGATCGCATCTGCAAGTGAACCTCTCAGTTATACTGAATATATTGAAGATGAAAACTGGATACTTGCTGTGACCGATGAAATTATAGCTCTTGAGGATGCTAGAACATGGACTATCGAAGACTTGCCTCCAAGCAAGAAAGCACTCGGTTTCAAATGGGTGCTTCGCTTAAAATTCAAAGCTGATGGAAGCCTTGAATGACACAAAGCTAGATTGGTCATTCTTGGCAACAATCAAACATAAGGACAGGACTATACTAAAATGTTCGCTCCGGTTGCAAAAACTGGTGGCATCCACACATTGGAAAGTACATCAGATAGACGTACACAATGCGTTTTTACACGGTGATATCGGCGAGGAGGTTTACATGCAGTTTCCTCCTGGATTTCAAATGGGCAATAATATGCTCAAATTATCTCTAGTGTTACTCTTTCAAATTAAGAGGTCAATGCAGTAGTTGGGGTATCGAATCCACAAAAGCTTAAGATCATTGCACAATAGATTTTATGTTCAAATTCAGCAAAGCAAATCAATATAATATAAAGCAGAGCAATTAATAAAAACAACATATGGTTTGTAAGTTCTTAAAATCAAAGAGACAAGGCGGTATGCAATGGGAAATTCCCAGGTTGATACAAATCGCAGAACAGGCATTAAGGTTCAAGTTCGATTGTTCACAAAATCCCTAATCGAAATTTCTTTGCAATTAGTTATTTTAATCAGCTAAGATAGTTCTGGTGATTATCAATATTTCCACATCTATTAAACAACCTAAAATCTGATTTCTTGGTCATCAATCTTAAAAGATTTTATCCCAACAGTTAAGCAGTTCTGACTTTTTATTATTAACCTTTGAATAACCCAAAACCTAATTAGCAGATTACTCAGATATAGAAATTGAAACACAAATCATTGCTGAAGTAACTTGCATAAAAGAATAGAGTAAATATGAAGGGGTTCGAAATTCTTCTCTAAAAGAGTACAAATTTGTCTCCCCAAAAGCTCCTTATATAATCTCTCTTTAAGTCTCAACGAAAACAAGATAATGACCTAACAATGGCTCTGAAAACCTAAATACACGCTTAAACACTACTAGGGCAAGTTTGTAAATAATGGGGAACTTCTAGGCCAAGTTGCAAGTCTTTAGAGATCTTTTAAAATGTCAGTTCGTGTCCACGACCGGTGTCGATCGACATTCAGTGGTAGGTGTCGATTGACACCATGTACAAAACATTGCTCCCAACTAGCCTTTTCGGCAACAACTTAAAGATACCTCCAAAATGCTCCCAAATCCACAGTTATGTTCCAAACGTACATAAACATGTAAAGACTCGAAATACCAAAAAGACTCTATAAACAAGACCTATATCATGTCAAAAACCCATAAAAACCATGATATATCAACTCCCCCAGACTTAGCTTTTGCTTGCCCTCAAGCAAAACAGTACTAAGAATAGAGTCGAGGTTTGAAAACAGAAATAGCCAGCTAACCTTAGGAATGCTACATTGACCAATACTTTTGAATCCACATACCACAGAGCCAACACAAGATATTATTTCGGAATACTTGCCACAAGCTTAGCAATCTCTCAAATACAGTTCAAGCTCCTTCAAGAAATCCAAAATCTCTACTGCTAACTCTGTTCATTTACTTAAGCGTGATATCTCATCAAGGATTTACCAATCAAAGCACATACAGATTCTTTACCTCCCTAACTACTCAACAAAGTCAATCTCGATACAGCTCTCCTATTGTCTCTTCCCTTGATCTATATTTTTTTGTAAATCAATAATCAATGTATTTCTTTTCATATATCTTTATAGCCTAATAATTGGTGCTGCTCATTACTTGTGTTCTTTGTGAGGAGACGGGTTCATGAGAGTTCACTACTGGTGTTACTTGTGAGGAGACTGGTTCGTGTGCATCATTCTATAGACTTATACTCTAAAAATTATATCAGGGAAGATCACAAAGAGACAGTACCTAAATATTTTTGTCAGTGCTGAAAGAGGAATTGAGTTCAATGAATATCAAACCCCAAGATGAGAAGTAAAAAGTTC